AAAAAAAAAAAAAAAAAAAAAAAAAAAAAAAAAAAAAAAAGAAGCTATTATCGCATTAAGACTACGGACAACACCTGTTCGTAGCTTTCGCTTCTTCTTTCACGCGGGAACTATTACTGTAAATCTCTATCATCCCATTGATAGAAGAAAAAGAAAATCTTGGACTCCTACTAACATTTTGAGCTGATATTGCTTTCTTTCCCCGTTCATTGCTCGAAATGCCAGGCCACGATCATGGTGAATTCTAAGTCGTTTGGAAGCTACCTACATTTTCTTTGATTCAGTATACGATGCACGAGGTCTCTTGTAGGAGTTTTCGACAAGGCGATGACGGGAAAAGGAAGGGTCCGTCCCGCCCGCTGCTTCCTACACTGTTCAGCTGTTTTTTTAAATCGTGTATTTATTATCCGTATCATCTTTACTTTGATGTGAGTTTTATACCGACAAAACAATTATTTCTCCACCATGCATGATTTCTCATATGCACGATCATCATCTACAGATGAAAAGAGATCCACCAAGAGATATTGAATGTGACGGACCGCGATTCTTTCGTGCTCGTTACACTATTCCCCGGGTGTACGTCCATTCGTCTCCGTCCGTTCCTCTCGTCTGGACTTTCTCAAGGAACCCCAGTCCTTGAGAAAGCTCTTCTTCACCGCTCCCTCCCGAAACGAATGTCATCAATGACTATGGGAAAGATACTAGAAAACTCCCAGGCATCACTTTCTCTACCAAGAGGTACCGCCTGGTCGAAGAGAGTCTCCGAGTCGTCTCGTACCATCCGAATCCTAACCCTTCACCGTGTTCCTAATTATGCACAACTGTATGACATACCTGATAATAATAACAATTAAACAGATTATGGCCGATGACACGCTGCGGGGGAAATTAGGAATTCCTGAAATATTCATGATCCCGATCGAAGGACAAATATTTATTGTTAATGTATGAGTTACCAACTTGGAACACGTTGAAAATATTGCGTCAGTATCATAGCCGCGAAAAGACCTTTGGTCTTTATTTCTTAGCAATATAATTTTTTAATATTGTATCTTATGTTTTAAAAGGTTTTGTTTGTCTTATTTCTTCATCTTAATCGTTGACATGTTACAAATTCTACCTATTGCACTTTCTTTTGTTTTCCAATTTTCTCCCATTTTGGTCAAGACCAAAAATTGGGATAAAATCACCTAATTTCTGCAGCTTGATGCAAAACATATTCTTTTGGTGCCTTCGAGATGTATAGGAAAATTGAATATTTTTCTCCAAGACAGTTGTGCAGCAGCGGGTTTCGTGCAGCAAAGGGTTAACTGTCGCATAGGGACGACTCAGGAATTCCTTACCCTCTGATGGTTGTGGAACCTCCTATGGCCCTCCGACGCACGAAGAATCTCGCCCTCCCTTGTCCATGCCGACCCGTCCACCATAAAACCTAGCCTCATTTCGTGACAGTGCAGACAAAATCGTTCCCCTTCGAGGAACAGAGCACGGTCGAATGCAACCGCATCGCTACTCCCATCAGCGAATTTTTATTTTTATTATTGAACCATTGACCTTAGGTGGCCTAATTCTTTACACCAGGGGTGTCAAACTCAAATCGGTCGGAGGGCCGCATTCCTTACCCTCCAGATGCCTGCGGGCCGCACCCATAAAATTTCACTTAAATTTGTGCTAAAATTTCAGAAGCAGACGGCGGACCGGATGAACCACCTCTGCGGGCCGGATCCGGCCCGCTGGCCGTATGTTTGACACCCCTGCTTTACACCATCTTCTGGCTCTACTTTTCCCCCGATCCGATGATGGCGAGGCGTTCGAAATATTTGCCATAGAATGCCGTTCCACGACAAAGTTACAGTTCTTTTGAGTTAAGAGAGAAACTGCGAAAAGAGCAAGACAATGATAATTTCACTTTTCCTCTGCTGCCAGTAGGACCATCAGTCAAGGGTATCACACTCCCACTTTCAGGAAAACCAGAATAGAAGGAAAGCAGGTGTCCACTCCTGGAACCCTGAATCGATGCATTTATGTCGTAATCCACGTAACACTTTCTCGGTTCGGTAAAGCAGCAGCTTCACACGAACAGCCAAGACAAAAACAATCTTTGCTCGTGTCGGCGACACGAAATAACGTCTGTGTTGGACAAGCGCTTCACCAAAGAAAAACTCAGCCAACATCATACTTACTCTTTGGTCCGGGTGCCTATTCGCCGCACAAACCGGGGTACTTTTTTCAGTCAACGTCGAATAACACAAGTAAACACACAAAAAGGATGGGAAGCGTGTTCTTTGTTGAAACATGGCCCAATGAAAATCAGACTCAAGACTCTACATGGGTCATTGGGGGGTTATGGGCCATTACGCTGCACTTCAACTACTTTGTTATAGGCACAAAAATTCAAAACCGGCAGGATGCCTTCATGACTAGGTGAAATTGGGCGATCACTGCAATCTCGGAACTTATTTTCGACATCGGGATTTTGTTTTATTCTCAACGTACCCATTCTCCCCAACAATAATAGAAAACCAAATATGGTGGAAAAGAAAGCTCTGAATAAATCTTGTCGCGGGCTGACGCGCGAGTCCCACACGAGACGCTCTTCATGTTTGTACTTGCACAAAAGTGAAAGAGAATCAAGTCCCTTCTCCACGAAGAAAAGCAGGTATCACAGATGAGAGAAATGCACGCTGATGCAGGAGCAGGATCTACTTCAGTTTCCCTTCCGTCTGGATAGTTTTGGCGACAGCATCCACACAATCGGCGAACGAGGGTCGGGATGCGTCTTTACTATAGTCCAAACCGGCCAACCTGGACAGAGCGAGGATGTAGGAGCAAGCGATACGGAGGATGCTCAGCTTGGACAACTTATTATTGTTGGAATACGTGGGGATCACACCGCGAAGACTCTCGAACGCGGCACTGATGGTGTGAACACGTGTCCGCTCGCGAGCGTTCGCTTCCATTCGCCGCTCTCGAGTCATGCTCTTGTAGCTCCGTTGTTGCTTGGGCTTCGAGGACGGAGAGCAATCTTCGTCCTGGACCAAGGAACCGGGCCATAACGGGTAGAGGGGCAACGGTGGCGGGCTTTTCCTCGACGCTTTCGGTTCGTGGTCCCACGGACGGAATGGGCTCTTGGACGACGACGAGGAGGCTGTGGACAGCGGAGACGAGGAGCATAATAATCTCTGATGATCCTCCTCCTCTTCTTCCCAACCCAATAGTCGCTGCTTCCGTGTCATCATGGGCTTTTTGGAGCACGGCTCCAACGTCGCCGTCGGCTTCCTCTTGCGAGATCGGCGGTGCGGATGAACCTCGACTGGCCTCTCCTGCTCTTCCTCGCTCGAGCTTGTCCCCTGAGGACTCTCCCCTTCCGATGACATATTTCTCTCCTTTCTACACCAAATACACACCGACACACACGTGATCGTGATGCCAGATGGTCCCAGAAGGAAAGGAAAGGTTCGGAAAGGAAGGGGAAAAAAGAGAGAGCAGCTGTGCCTATCTTGCCATCTGGAAGTGTGGGAAGTGTGTGCCAGTGCCAGCCAGCCAGCCAGGCCAGCAATTCTAATTATATGAGCACACACACACACACACGCATCCACAACAGAAGACACTCATCCTTCCCCTGTCTGCCAGGTGCACCCTCCTTTTTTTCCTACCATTTCCCTATCCGCCTCTTTCCTTCTACTCCCCCCTCCATGTTGTTTTCCTCTCACTCCCGGAAGAATGTAGGCATAATTATACTCGAGCAATTTATCTCCTTCGCGCATATCGGTCCCCTCATTACGATGAGATGTTATCGTCTGTTGATTTTAGCATTCCACACGGTGGAATGAATGAGAATAGGAGACCCTAACAGGTGTTCCCCCACTTCCTCCTATTTACACTTCATCGTAACTTTCAACGGTGGAAAGCCGCTTGGGAAGTCATTTAAATAATGCGGAATCTCACTCGTCTATGACATTCTAGGTTTCCACATTTGGGGAATTCATTAAATCATAGATGGGGGAGACATTCAGGTCTCTCTATTTTTCAGACCTGCTTCTCTCCTACTTTCGGTTTTCCGTCCCATCTAGTGTCTGCATTCGAAAGGCTTACAGTTAAAGTGGATGAGATACGGCATTTGTCACTTCCTACCCTTATGGATCCCTATTACCACTGGCGTCAGGTGCAGGTTAGGGTTAGATTATGTGTAGGTTAAACTCGCTCTTTCCCATGAATTGCACTATTCACGCCTACGTCTACAATGCGCGCGTTTCCCTTAAATTTAAATGAAGCACTGCCTCCAACCTAGGCTCAATAAGATCATGCGCTAACTCGGCAGTTTTATTAAGTACTTTCCTCGAATGATGGAATAAAATACAAGTTAGGAGCAAGACTCATATCGTATACCCAATAGAATAATTAACAAATTACTAGTTAAGAATGATTAAGACCAAATTGTTACAATTAAAATTTAATTTGATCTGTGGGTTTCTAAGAAAACTTGCAGGAATGTATACCATTTATTTCTAATTAAAATCAACCTTTCGTCTAAATGATAACATTTAAATTCCAAGTATGTTATTCTGTGAAATGAAAAAGGCGAAAAGGGCATTATTGGAATACGTGTTGGATCGACTCACCGGGATATAAGAGCCACCAGATTTTTGGAGAGAAAGAAAACTCCGGAGGACCCTTGACGTGGGAGGGGAGAACGAACCGCGAAGGCGTGCAGGTCTCTCCCGTTTGACTGCCTGCAATTCTCTAATCCCGAGAAGGGAAAAGAGGGAGACTCAGGAGTCAGGGGAAACGAGTCTCCGTCGGGCCGAGACCGGAAGGGCCGATCCCCTCATTATTCCTATTGTTCCCGTCCGACACCCATTCGCGGATGTCGTGCGCCACCCTCCATGTACAGGTGATCTCGTGATCCGTTCGTAACCGGAATGGTGAGAGATGAGGGGGAGGAGATCCTGAGATTTATAGTAACCGCAGAGGACTCTACGGCAGACGGGCTCCAGCTGTCAGAGAGTGGCGATATGCGGCCGCCACTTTGGAGCCACCCTGATGCCTCTTCGGAATCTTCCCGGTTGCAAACGCCCATCTCATATCGTGGATTCAGCGACAGGATATGTACACGGATGGCGCGAAGCACATTGGATACGGCTATTTCATACAAAGATAGCTGAGGTGATGCATTTGCATTATCGTATGCAATGTACTGGCTCCGACGCATGAACATGGATATCGATGGGCGAATGAATTCCTCTCCGTCAATATGAAGTTACGTCTAGGTAAGGGAAGAAGTGGATCTTTCTGCAATGCACGTGACAGACGATGCCCCCTGATACCTAGCATACAGAATATGAGAATTAACTGCTATCAATAATATATGGTTTCTTGTCCTGTTTCCTTTCCAATCGCAACTAACTACCCTTGTCAACATTTAGCTGTTAATGTCAGTGCAGAAAGTTCCAATCTGTGTAGCATCAAGGGCAAAAGATGCAGCCTTCGGTTATACAAAGGACTCACAATGCGAATATCCACTTGAACATCACTGTAGAAATCGTTTAATTTCTCTAGGTACAAGATGCACCAACATTTATCATGTCAAAAGTTAAGTCTTCATTATAATTTGTGAAATGAGTGAAGTGGGCTCTAAAGTCGAAGTTCGAGGGCCATAGCTTAGTCTCTCGAGGACAGCATACGATCTCTGGGTCTCGGATCGATAATTCGTGTTTGGTGTTTCCACTGTATTCACAGCAGCGCTGAATCTGACGGTTTCTTCCTTGTCTTACCTTCGTTTGACCGTCGAGCCGCAATGCAATCGTGCAGGTGAGAGGCTGTCGCGCCGCGTTTGTCCATTAAAAGAAACAAATGCTGTCGGTGTCGACTGTGGTTAGGGCGACGTTCTTATGGGACTGCAGGGACAAGGAGCGAGAACGAAAAGAGAGAGAGGGAGAGGGAGGCGTGAAAAGCGTTTGCAACCGAGCAGATTCCGATCGGCGTCTGCCAGATGTTCCTGCATGGATCTCGGAATGCGGTAGCAGTGACGCAATTCTTTCCTCCCCCCCCCTTTTTTTTATCTCTCTCTCTCGTCACTCCCCGCCCCTCCCCCCCCCCCTCCAAACACCTCCTCCCATAATTATCCTTTCATTCATTCCATTCATTCATTTTTTTCAACCAAGAAGAAAAGAAGCAGGAGAGAAGCTTTTAGTTTATATTTAAACAATAAGCAGAGAAATTCATATGAGATCGATCAACCGAGCATGTAGAACGAAGGGTAGTAATAATACATGGGGATGGAAGGGTAACTGCCGTAGTACTTGTAAGCTCCTCCCCCTGAAAAGGGAATCCCGCCGCCTCCTCCCTTCAGAGCTCCTAACCCCGGAAAGAAGGGAATCCCGCTGCCTCCGCCCAGTCCCTTCAGAGCTCCTTTCCCTGGAATGAAGGGAATCCCGCCGCCTCCAGCTAAGCCCTTCAGGAGCTTCAACTTCAGCGCCAAGGGCAGCTTCAGGAGCTTCAGTTTCGGCAAGAATTTCAGGAGGAGGAGCTTCAGCTTCAGCTCAAAGGGCAACTTCAGGAGCTTCAGTTTTGGCAAGAATTTCAGGAGGAGGAGCTTAAGCAGCGGTGCTTTCTTCAGCAACACCTTCTTGAAAAGGATTTTCTCCAAGATCTTGGTCTCGGATGTGACGAGATCCGAAACGTTTTGGTCTCCTTCCGATCCCTTTAGGTCTCCTTGAGGTCCCGATGCTTCCTGGAAGTCCAAGTCGCCTTGTTGGATCTCTCCGCCTTCGTCCGGAATCTCGTTTTCACAGACCCCTCCATGACTCGATAACACAGCCCAAATTGAAATCGACACGAGGACCTTGAAAGTGAAATCCAGAAATACTTTTGTTATGCGCGCTGGATTAGGAAACCTGGAGAAAACCTTGTCACATAGGAGTAGAACCAACAGTGTCTCTTCCATAAGAGTGGTCTGGCAAGGTATCTCAACTACCCTTCCCTCCTTTTAAGGTCCTAAGGGTACCGTTGAAGATGACTCAGAATGACCGTATCTACATTTCTACGGTGTCCAGGGGGAGTGAGTGCACGATCACTTGCTTCTAGCCACCCTCATGAAGATGAATACAGCATGTTACCTTTTCCAAAAATTCAATGTTTTTAAAAGTTCAACTTACCTCAATGTATCAATTTGGCAGACAGTCGGAGGAAAGATGAAAGACGTTTCCAGCGCCATTTTATTTAAGAGACTCAATCTACAGGGATGTCAGATTTTTTCTCAAATCGCTCTTTGATGAAAAGCGAAAACTGAATCCTTTCTGTTCTTCTGCCAGCCCTTCGATACGAGGAAGACCAGCGAAGTGATAAGGTGGATTGCATAAAACTGACTTCAGTGTAATAAAGCTTTAACCTCCTTTAGCGGTGCTAATGGAAGTTTAAGGGTGACATGCACCCGATTCGTTTAACTTTAAATTGATTCGTTTTCATAATGGACGTCTATGTGAATAAGTTTATCTCTGTTAAACTGATTCCGATAGGGGACCATTGTGAGATCAAATTAGTTTAGCTCAAACGGATCCGGTGCATGTCACCCTAAAGTTTCATTACACTAAAGTCAGTTTTATGCGATCCACCCATAGTCTTTATGTGATTTACCGATACTTTTTTTTTTCATTCTGAATGTGCTTTTTTCGGCTGAGAATCAGGTTCTAAAGTGGAAGTAAGGCACCATTAATCGAGAGCTTAAATTTGCAGCTAAGCACTCTTGCTGGGGAAATGCAGATTTCATTACGTAGAAATAGATTCCGTGAAAGCATTCCACGGGTGAGCAAGCGTCTCCGATCTTCCGTGGATCTTTCGCTACGATGCGACGGTCCGTCTTCGGTTCTAAAGGCTATCTGCTTTCTTCTTCGGTAACGTCGCCTTGCGTCCGATCAAATTCTGCCGTGATCTGAGGCTCGAGAGACTGGACGAGGTGAATCACGAAGAGTGAGAAAGAGAAGGCTTGTGGGAAGATGCCTCCGAGCGGGGCAAAAAGCTCATCGCTCATCGAGCATCGAACTCGATCCGGGGGATCAAGAGTGGGGGTGGGGGGCGCGGATGGAACCCTTCAGGGGTGGCTGGAGACCGCACGAACGAATTTTGCACCAAATTTTAAATCCAAATAGATCATGTCAGCACTTTTCCGAAACCAACTGTCGAAAAAGATTTCGTGGGTCGAATGTCTTGAACCGACGGGCCCCCACTTGACGCCCCTGCCATAGAGAAAGGAACCAGTGGAAAGGGGGCAAACTTCCAAGTTTCAGCATACACTTCCGTCGGCTCGAGCTCCTTCTAGAGTAGTGGTTCTAGGCCTTTTTTTTTTTTAACTAGAGGCGAGCTGCGTGAACCCCCTTCACTATCGCGCAAATTCGTAAGTTCTAAATAAATAAATAAAAAATCATTTTGAAGACGATAATTTAAAAGTTGGCCGAAAGGTACACATCATTTATATTTAATTTTTCGTTTTGTCTTTTTTTTTCTGTAGCGAGTTTAGTTTCACTGGCCCCCTGGAGCCCAAGCAAGGACCCCGGTTGAGAAACCATGCTCTAGAGCTGGGGGTGGGCAAACGACGGC